ACTCAACCAGCTATCTGAGGTAGAAACTTCCAGATTTGCTTTACAAACAGCAGCTAAGTTTCCTGCAAAAAGGAGAGGAAAATTTAGTGTTCTTGTTTTAAGCTGTGTTAGTTGATGGCTACAAGTGGTATAGTGTGAGATAGAAGACTGCATACAGTCTGTTCCAGGCTCAAAAATATGTGTGGATAAACACAAATTCTCCTGAAGATCCAAAACAAGGATGAGGGGAGAAGACTACAGGAAGAGAATGCGTATTTAGGTTTCATCTTAAACCAACTGCCTGTGTGCATTTTGGCATCCATTTATTTATTTATTTTTGTCCTGAGAAGGCCTATTCAAATGACTAAGTTAACAGTATCACACACAACATGTTAGCATACAATGTACCCTGTAGGTGTAAAAATTCAGCTTTGTTTTGCCCTTGTTCTTGAACAAAAGCTTCTTCTTTGCTAGTCTCCCAAATGTTCCCAGCCATTATGTAGAAATACACTCATTTTAAAACAAAACAAATTATGTACCTTTCGAAAAAATTAAAAGGAAAACCATACACATAAACACACATATGCACAATGACATTGACATTACCCTGTACCTTCTCCCATGTGCCTCAGAGTTATAGCCAACACCTGTAGCCACACAAGGGGTAGATTTGGCAGCTGCAGAACCCAGATGTCGGACACTGGATTGTACATCCCTGGCAGCAGTCCTAAGTTGGAACCTGTCTCCTTAACTGACCTCTGAAATGCTCTATTGTCTGACTCCTTTTCTGGCCTGGGCAGTGACTACCAAGCTCTCTGCTGGGGCTGGTTCAGAGTCAGCCAACTGATGGTCTGTTCTGGATGCAATTACCCTTTGCTTTGCCTTTGATTGTAAGGAATTTATTTATTTATTTATTTTTGTAAGGTTGAAAATTGGGATTAGGTAAATTCTTGACAAGGAATTATATTCAAGTGTCTTGTAAAGACTAAATAAGTTGTTTTTTGTTTTGATTGTGTCCTTCCCAAATGAAACTGAATGAGATCCACTCATCCAATTTACGTTTTAGCACGCAGTGAGCTTTCGCTAATGAGAAGTAAAACTATGAGATTCTTGGGCACTTTTCCCCTCCAAAAGAAGCTTGGTTTCCTTTTATTGCTGCTGTTGCTGCTGCTGCTTCTCCTTCTTCCTTCCTCCTCCTCCTCTTCTTTCTCTTCTTCTTCCTTTTATTGCTTCCTCTTCTTCTTCCTTTTATTGCTTCCTTCTCCTTTTCTTCTTCTTCTTCTTTTTTTTTTGACAGGGTCTCATTCTGTCGACCAGGCTGGAGTAGCACAATCATGGCTCACTGCATCACTGCAGCCTCGACCTCCCCAGACTCAGATGATCTCCAACCTCAGCCTCCAGAGTAGCTGGGATTGCAGGTGCACACCACCAAGCCCAGCTAATTTTTTTGGAGAGATGGGATTTCACTATGTTGCCCAGGCTGACTTCTACTGCTTCTTAAAACTACCTCTTAATGTTGAAAATGAAATCCATCTTTCTTTAGAAAATTAAGGAGGTACAATTTTATTTTTGCTATTGCTAAAAAAAAAATGTCTCACCTTTTACAGAGAAGAACTCTTTGTGACATGAGTTTTCTTGATTCTTTAAAGAGGAAATAATGACATTACAATCTCATTTCCATACCACTTGCTGAAGAATGACATTATAAGATGCAACCATCTTAGGAATAAGATAGGAAAAGGCCAGTTATCTACGGGGGCTCCACTTACAATGCAACACTGTTAGCCCTACAAGGAAGGTCTGTGGTATATATGGTTATTCATGATTAGCTAAGGAGATACATGCCTGACATTAACAGGAAGATAAATTTTGAGGAAACCATAGAATATACTATCACATCCAACACAAAATGGTATTCATCTGCACCATGTAAAATGTTCCAAATTTTATCGACTTTCATAAAAATGTAAATATGTTTCTTGGATAGCACTGATTAAGACTTGGAAAAAAGATTGAAGATTCCTGAGTTCATACTAATATAAATAAATAACTGATAAATAAATTGAGGAAAAGAGACAACTCTCATGCAGAAGAATTCCAAATAATTTATGTGATACTTGCCTTTCAAGGAGGTGGAGTTTAATTCCCCACTCCTTGAGTGTGGGTCATGTTTTGTGATTTAATTCCAAAGAGTAGAGTATGGAAAGGTTGGGAGGAATAACTTTCGCAGTGGAGAAAGCTGAGAAGCACTACTTTGGCCAGGTATTCAAAGTCAGTGTCATCAGTAATAAGTCATGTTTATAGCATATACTACTCTCAATATGATATAATCTCACTGAAGGGCGTATCACCTTTTTAATATTTCTCCAAAAACTCATATCCCTAGTCTAACCATGTGAAAACATCAGATACACCCCACTTGAGAAATATTCTACAAAATACTTGATCAGTACTCCTCAAAACTGTCAAGGTCATCAAAAATAAAAAGTCTGAGAAACTGTTGAAGCCAAGAGGCGCTAAGGAGATATGACAACTAAATAAATGTAATGTACTATCCTAGATAGGCTGCTGGAGGAGAAAAAGGACATTAGAGGAAAACTATGAAATCTGAACAGGGTGTGCAGTGTAGTTAATTGCAATGTACCAATGTTGATTCCTTGGTTGTGATAAATGTCCTGTAGTTATGTGAGATGTCAACAACAGGGAAAACTAAGTGAGGCGTATATGGGAACTCTCTGTGGTATCTTCATAATTTTTCTGTAAATCTAAAACTATTCCAAAATAAAAAGTTTATTTAAATTTTTAAAAGACATATTGTCATATCGACTGAAACAGAGTTCCTTGCGTCAATCAATACATCTTTCTCTTTCTTACACACACCTATCTGCCAAACCATATGGCATAAAGAGTCCTTTTCCTGAAACATAAGAATACTTAATCCTTCAAGCCAATGTAGTATGAATGGAAGTGGACTTATTCTGAAAGTTTTAGATTTCCCAATAATACCTAGGTCATGCCCTCAGTAATATGGGACAAATGCTCAAAAGATAATGTCCATAAACCTGTATTTCCCAAAAACTTTAAAAGACAAAACATCCTTGAACTACATTTCCAATAAACTTATATTTTGTGTGAGTTATTGACATAATTAATAAGATAATGCATTAATCTCTGAAAGAAACATATTCTTTGCTAGATTACTGAGGACAGTGTTCATTTATTGATCAATTGTTACCATGGGAGGTATAGAGGTAGTCTGATGTACTATGGTTTCAGAACTTGGGTGAGATTCTTTCCTTGCTTCTCCTCACCTGTCATTTAGAATGATGAGAAATGAAATCTCTGGGAATTTTAGAAGAATTTTTTCATACTGTTTTCAATTTACCATTTTTCTTTAAGAAAAGAAAAAAATAAGTGTTATTGTCAGTGAATGTTTACCTTAAAAAGCTATTATAGATTTGTTCTGCAATTGTTAATAAAAATTGTGCCTTTGCTAACGTTTTAATGGTAAAATTTTTAAAGTTCAGTTGATCAAAATTTAATTAGCCAGGGTAATACATGGTCAGAATAGCCTCTCTCATTCTGTTTTTAGGAAAGAATGCAAATGTCTTTAAAGAAAGCTTGGGAAAAAAATACATGCAAGTCTTGAACGTATTTTAAGGCTAAAAATAAGATTCAAGGCTGGGCACAGTGGCTTATGCCTGTAATCCCAGCACTTTGGGAGGCCTAGGCGGGTGGATCATCTGAGGTCAGGAGTTCGAGACCAGCCTGGTCAACATGGTGAAGCACCACATCTACTAAAATAAAAAAAAAAAATTAGGCATGGTAGCAGGCAACTATAATCACAGCTACTTGGGAGGCTGAGGCAGGAGAATCGCTTGAACACAGGAGGAGGAGGCTGCAGTGAGCCTATATCATGCCATTGCATTCCAGCCTGGGTGACAAGAGTAAAACTCCATCACAAATAAAGAAATAAATAAGATTCAGTAAAATCACCTGCACATTGTATACCTACAGTACTTTGCAATAATAACATATATTAGGAAAAAGACTGTAATAATGAGAAAAAGAACAAAATGTTCACTATGGAATTCTTAGCTGAGGGAGAACAGTCAACTAACATATTTTAGGAATATTGCTCATAGTAAGGTATTTAATATGGAACAAAATACTGGGAAGGAGGGGGATCTACAGTTAATGTAGGTAGCTGTTTTTTTATGTTACTCTTCAAGAAGTTCAATTAATATGTATTTTGCATTTCATTATAGTATTGTATGTGTATGGTTAATAACGAGAATTATAACAATCTGTTTCCCAGAATACTGATGATGTGCTAGGCTTTAGGCTGCCGGGCATTTTACATACACCAACTATAACTTAGCATAACGCCGCAAGTTATGAACAATTAGTGTTTAACAACTGAGAGAACTGAGGGCACCAGAAGTTAGGGGACTGATTGAAAGCTCCGCAGCTTATAAGGGAGGGAGCCATTACCAACTCTGTCTGGCTGCCTCAATTGCCTGAACTCTTCCCCACCATATCATAAGGCTTTGTTATCATATATTATAATTACTAACACTATTAAGGTAGGCATTTATTTATCACTAAGTGATTTAAGTCATTTAGTGTTTCTAGGCTTCAATTTTCTCTTAGGTAAAATGAAGTTAGCTTATTGATTTCTAATGTTTCATAGAAACATTAATTTATATACAGAATAAAAAATTAAATGGTCATTTTTCACAATATTTTTGTTTAAAAGAGAAGATCATTAACATTGGCCCTCACTAAATGTTGTGATGATGGGATCAATCTAGAAATGCTCATGTCATCTCTCTCAAATCCCTCCAGTCCTATTAAGCCAGGACTACTGATCTTACCATTTTCAAAGTTATTCCTTAAAACTTACATGTAAGAGGAAATTGCGTATTTTTCCCAGCACTATACAAACTATATACTTAAACTTTTTGGCTCCTAAAGAATTAACAACTTGCATTCAGATATAAATGATGCAAAAAACCCCATTTTTCTGGATCTGAAAATAATCAAAAATTTTATTTTAATTCACATTTATTTAAATATAACATTTTTATAGACACATGAAGGTACTTATAAACATTGATAACATGGTAGACATAAATATAGATGAAATGTTTAGGTATTTTAGACAAAATTTCACACATAAACTAGACAAACTGACTATGTACTTGCATTTAGTTTCAGGGGTACATTAACATAGATATTTGAAAAGGATGTGCTTTTACAAAACTACTACAAAATGTTCACATTTGCATCAGCAATAAGTCATATTTCCTAGACCAATGCTTTATAAAAACTATGTAAAGATCTAATTTAATCATTAACATCATATGGTAACATAATATGTAAAGGAAGCATATTTTTGTCAATAGAAATGTTCCTGTAACTTTTAAATAACATAGCATTTGTATTAAAACCATGCCACATTTATTAAAACAAACATGCATAATAATACTTTAAAACTGGAATAATTCATGTACCTTTATGCACAGTGTTTAGTTTCACTATGGCACTCTTTGTGAAAAAATATACTTAAAACTTGGCACAGAGTTAATAAATCATATTGCTGGTCATCAAAATGAATGTGATTTCAATTTCCCATGGCATAGAAAATTCTCTATCACAATTTGCCTCTTCCCTTTACAGTTTATCGACCAATGGCAGTTCTGTTTTCATTAAAGTAAACAATGGATATTCAAGAACTAAAAGTCACATGAAGGTGTTTTGCCTATACTCTAATTGGAAATGAGTTGATTTTAGTTTTTCCAGGAGTAAAACATTTCCATCTGTATTGTGGCCAACAAATTTCTAAATAAGGGTGTTATCAGCAATAATATGTATCATCATGGGATGTTTTTCTTCAGGAGGCAGAGAGGTTGAAAGGAAATGTGGATCTCTTCAGAAACTGGGGAACATATGTGGTAAGGAGAGCAAATGCCAACCGAGGCAGAAGCAGGGAAAGTTCTTTGGAAAGCTGGTCAGAGAGCACACTGAAGTAGCAAAAAGGCAGAGAACAAAGGTGGGAACATAAGAATTATTCACAATGGAAAGGGCTGCCATGAGTTTCAGAAAACGGAAATGGGCCACTCCAGAAACAGCACGCAGGGCAGGTCTAGCATTCTCGTATCAGCAAACTGGCACTGTTGTTTAGGACAAGTTTTAAACTTCCACATCAATGCGTCTGAAGAAATTAAGCTAACTGGCACCTTTTTTTCTGAATTCATTCATAAACACTGTGGAAGAAAAAAAATCGGGAATAACACTAATTCAACTTCCTACAAACCAGAGAGGAGACTTCACACCCACTTCTAGCTCAGACTTCGGAGCTGTGGTAACTAAAAAATGCCACAATTCTTTTTCACAGTTCTAAGATAAATTTGAGGTGTTATATATATTTTGAGAGACCATCTGAAGGAATTGACTCCTTTCATAAAACCTTCATAGCCTAATTTTTATATTTATTATATGGGAGAAAGGAAGTAGAACTTAAGTCAATTTGTACACAAATGTACATTTTTCTTAAAAATAGAGTAATTAACATAATGCTATTTTCTTTGCTTTATGATCCTTACTTTGCTGAGGGCCTTAAACAGTGAAACGGCAAAGAACATCAAACAGGTCAAATAAAATAGGTGAACATATTTTAAAGCTGTTAAGGTGCAAACAGACATAAAGATTATGAATCACAGAGCACTGAATTTTCAAGAGTGAAATCATACCAAAACCGTGATAAGTTTTCGCTGACATCATAGGAGAGTAAGTGGTCAGGAAGGTCAGTGATGGTGCCCTGCACTGCCAGCACATGCGGGGCCAGGGTGAAGGGTACATCGCTCAGGAGCTCGGCCATTAATGAGCTGTTCTCCAGAGTCTGGCCTGCCTTATTTTCCGTCTCAGGGTCTGATACAGTCACACTGGATGAATTTTCTTTGTTGGTCTAAAAATACATATATTTAAAACATTTAGGCCTTGTGAACTTTGAGGTTTAGTAACAGTAAATGTGGCATTAATACATCAACATGATTGAGAAATGTGGACTATATCAATATTCCCAGATTTGAATCCAGCTCTTTACTTCAGAATTACATTTATCCAAATTTCCGTTAGGCTTTAAAGTGAATCCTAAACTTTAACTCAGACTGACCACCCACAGACCCCTTAAACACAAACTGGCCTTCTTGTTATTTCCCTTGCTCAGATAATGTCTGCAAAGTCTGTCTCCGCTTTTCCAAATCCTATGTACGTTTTTAGGCTCTGCTAAATTCTCAGCTGCCCTATAAATCTTGTATCACTGGAGTCCAAAGTGATCTTGCCCATTTCAGAACGCTTATGGAGCAAATTGCCTAAGATGTTATTTGGTGTTGCCTATATGTGTCCTTGCTAATTGCTGTTTGATATGCATATATATCTTATCTCCAACTAGACTATAGGGTCTCTGAAGGCAAGCAATCCACCTGGCATATCTTTGTATTTTCAACCTTGCATACTTTACTGTTTGACACTAATATACATGTACTCATAATTTATCTCTAATGTATACCATGAGTATTGATTGATTGCCTGACTGCCATTGGAACTAACCTGTTATGTCACAAAAGTTATCCAATTTTTAAAAAAAGGATATATCTTGTTCAGTTTCTTTACAATTAATATCTCTTGCAAATCACCTAAATATCAATCAATAGAAGAATGGATAATAAATTGAAATGTATTTACAGCAATGAAGATGAATGGCCTGCCACTACGAGCACCTGAAACCTAACTCAAACCAGCCTGGGCAAAACAATGACTCCCCCCTCAACCCTCAATCTCAGGCAGAATAAAATTCCCGAGTCTTTACAGAGGCCTACTAGCTCCTTCACGATCTGGCTCCAGGGGTGCCTCTGACCTCATCTCCAGTTCGTATGCCCTAGCCTGCTCCTCTTCAGTCCCACTGTCTCCTTGCTAGTGCAAGTGCTTGCTCGTGCACACCGAGCCTGCTTCTGCCTCAGGGCCTTTGCTTTCCATTCCCTCTGTCCAGGACACTCTTCTCCCAGACATACACGGGGCTACTTCCCTTATCTCCTTCCAAGTGTTAGTCCAGATGCCATCTCAATGAGGCCTTTTCTCACTTACATAAAACTTACTTTTACGTAGTTTTTGTTTGTTTGTTACTTTTTTGAGACGGAGTCTTGCTCTGTCACCAAGGCTGGGGTGCAGTGCGTGATCCTGGCTCACTGCACCCTCCCTGTCTCAGCCTCCCAAGTAGCTGGGACTATAGGAGCACGCCACCATGCTTGGCTAATTTTTGCATTTTTTTGTACAGACAGGATTTCACTACATTGCCCAGGCTGGTCTTGAACTCCTGGGCTCAAGCGATCTGCCTGCCTCAACCTCCCAAAATGCTGGGATTACAGGCATGACCCACTGCGCCCAGCCAAGGAGCTTTTGTAGCTCATGTTCACTGCTGTATCCCACATGTCTAGACTAGATCAGTGCCTACTGCTCAGTAAAGATTTATTGGGCTTTTTTTTTTTGGTTGGTAGGCTATTAATTACTGCCGCAATTTCACAACTTGTTATTGGTCTATTCAGGGATTCAGCTTCTTCCTGGTTTAGTCTTGGGAGGGTGTATGTGTCCAGGAATTTATCAATTTCTTCTAGATTTTCTAGTTTATTTGCATAGAGTTGTGTATAGTATTCTCTGATGGTAGTTTGTATTTCTGTGGGATCAGTGGTGATCTCCTCTTTATCATTTTTTATTGTGTCTGTTTGATTCTTCTCTCTTTTCTTCTTTACTAGTCTGGCTAGCAGTCCATCTATTTTGTTAATCTTTCAAAAAACTAGCTCCTGGATTCATTGATTGTTTGAAGGGTTTTTCTTGTCTCTATGTCCTTCGCTTCTGCTCTGATCTTAGTTATTTCTTGCCTTCTGCTAGCTTTTGAATTTGTTTGCTCTTGCTTCTCTAGTTCTTTTAATTGTTATGTTAGGGCGTCGATTTTAGATCTTTTCTACTTTCTCCCGTGGGCATTTAGTGCTATAAATTTCTTTCTAAACACTGCTTTAGCTGTGTCCCAGAGATTCTGGTATGTTGTGTCTTTGGTTATAAATGCTAATGGTTATAAATGCTGACAAATTATTTGACTCTAAGTCTAAAGGAGAAGAATAATTTTCTGGGCCGGATACGGTGGCTCATGCCTATAATCCCAGCACTTTGGGAGGTTAAGGTGGGCAGATCACCTGAGGTCGGGAGTTCGAGACCAGCCTGACATGGAGAAACCCCGTCTCTACTAAAAATACAAAATTAGCCAGGCGTGGTGGTGCATGCCTGTAATCTCAGCTACTTGGGAGGCTGAGGCAGGAGAATCACTTGAACCTGGGAGGCGGAGGTTGCAGTGAGCCGAGACTGTGCCATTGCATTCCAGCCTGGGCAAGAAGAGCGAAACTCCATCTCAAAAAAAAAAAAAAAAGATTTTTTTGTATGAGAAATAATTTTGTAAAACTTTTTATTAAAGTATAAAATATACACAGAAAAGGTTACCTCCTAAGTGTATAACTTGTGAAATTTTTACAAACTGAATACACATGAGCAACCAGCGCCCAGATCAAGAAATAGAAAAGACCAGCCCCCAGAAACCCTCCAGGTGTTCTCTTGCAGTCACAATCAACCCCCATCCCGTCAATCATGATCCTTATTTCTAACAACACAGAATTCGTTTTACCTGGTTTTGTATTTTAATTAATTAATTAATTTATTATTATGAGACGGAGTTTTGCTCTTGTCACCCAGGCTGGAGTGCAATGGCATAATCTCGGCTCATTGCAACCTCCATCTCCTGGGTTCAAGTGATTCTCCTACCTTAGCCTCCCGAGTAGCTGGGATTACAGGTGCCCACCACCACATCCAGCTAATTTTTGTATTTTTACTACAGACAGGGTTTCACCATGTTGGTCAGGCTGGTCTCGAACTCTTGACCTCAGGTGATCCACCCGCCTCAGCCTCCCAAAGTGCTGGGATTACAGATGTGAGCCACCGTGCCAGGCCTAGTTTTGTATTTTAAATGAATGCAATCATACAGTACGAACTCTTGCTTCTGGCTTCTTTTACTCAACGTTATGTGGATGAGATTCATCCAAATTGTTTCATGTTAGATGAAAAAAAATCTTGAAGAACATGTTGTTGGAGAGGTGATATATTCTGACCGATGTTTTAAAAGAATCACCCTGGTTGCTGGGTTGACAGCAGATAGTAGAGGTAGGGTGGCCAGGGAAGGAAGTGGGAAGATAGCTGGGAATGAGAGATTACTTACGAAGTAGATTAGAGCAGGGATAGCAAAGGTGAGATAAAATGGTTGGATTTTGGATAGACTTTAAGGGTAAAACGAATACGATTTGCTGATGTAATGGATGGTGGGGATATGAGAACAAAAGCACAGTTAAGGATAAAACCAAAGTTCTTGGCCTGAGCAATGAGACAGATGGAATCACCCTTTAAAGGGATGGGAAACAGTTCCAGGGAGCAGGAATGGGTGGGAAGATCAAGAGTTCAGTTTTGGAAGTTTCAGTGCCTAGCAGACATCAGGTGAAGCTGTTAGTAGGCAGGGGGATATAATTTGAATCTGGAGCTGGACGAGATCTGGTGGAGAAAGTGGAGAGAAAATTAGAATGGACAGTATTTTCTAGGTGTCATGATGTAAATGGGGAAACATATATGGGCCAGTAGTTAAAAAGGGATGTGTAGTCAAGAAAAGTTTCTTTTGATTTTTGTTTTTCTTTTCAAGTTGGGAGAAATAATGACAATTTATAAGCTAATAAGAAGCAGCTCACAAGAAAGGAAAAATCCATAGAGAATTTATAGAGAAGGAACTCGTCACAAAGCATCTCCAACACCTAAAACAGGGGCCGTCAAGAAATATTTTTTAGTGAATGACCTCGAATTAGTAAAGTTAAAAAGCATATGCCTTTAAGAGTGATCTTATAATGTCATGTGAAAATAACACCAGAGTACTGTTTTAGGACTGCAACTAACAAATGTAATCATACTCTTGTTGTGATAAAGCTTGTTATAAAGATGTATGTCTGCAGTGGGCAGATTCTGTCTCCTGAAATCTAACTCGGACTCACAATGCTAATTATCCTCGAGTCAGCCAAGAGCGCAAGTATGAGTAACGACACCACCATTCTACTCCCTTTAAAGGGCTTCCCTGTACGCTGGTTTATACAGAAAAACTGAAAGGGAAGCAACATTTGGGTGCACCATAAAACCTTAAGATTTCATCTGCACCGGGGCTTTGATCACTTGTGAGCAGAACAAAGTGGTTAGGAGCACAGATTCCAGAACCGTGCTGCTTGGTATAAATCCCAGGTCTCTTGTTTATTAATAAGCAAATGGCCTTGGGCAAATTATTTAACTTCTCCATGCCTCAGTTTCTTTAGCTGTATTATGAGATTGATAATAGTTAACTATTTCATAGGATTGTTAAATGCAAGGATTAAATGAAGTTATATTTATAAGTAAGCAGAACAGTGCTCGGTATACATTAAAGTAAGTGAATAAGTAACATTTTAGAAATGCTGGATCCCATTTGGGTTTAGATGAAGTTTAGAATCCAGTCATCTCTTTTGACACTCACTGGTAGTTCAAATAATACCTTTCCCTCTCCTTTTATTTCTTGCTTTCTCTCTTAATCTCATGTGTAAATGTTCCCTCGATCTGGTGGTCTCATCCCACTCAAGCTTTCTTTTCTTTTTTTGTTATGTATAGAATGTTCTAGAGTTTCATCAGCCAAATCATCTCCTTTCTTAAACAAAAGCATTCCTGACATCCCACCTTCTGCACTAAAGCGGAGGTACAGGCATACATTCTTTTACTGCGCTTTGCTTTATGGTGCTTCATAGATACTCCATTTTTTACAAATTGAAGGTTTGTGGCAACCCTGCATCAAGTAAGTCTACTGGA